GTGGCGGCGCCGGCGGCGGCCATATGGGGGAGAGATCGGAGGCGGACATGAAAGCCTCCATGACCGAAGAGTTCTCGTCCGTCCACAGGTTCATTCACAGAGTGAGTGGGGAAGGATTATTATTATTAGTGTTACCGAGGAAATTGAATTGGATTAAAGGTTTTGGTGTGGTGCGAGTGGGAGTGGAGAAAAGGGGATAAAACAGAAAATGAAAGGGGACTTACAACTTACAACACAACACCGAATGCATTTGGGTTTCGAATTTATTTCGACTGCATTTAGGGTGAATTTTTATTTTAGGTCTGGGAGCAAGAAAGAAGAGAGAGTGTGTGAGTGTGAGTGCGAGCCTTCCGCGAAAACCCAAATGTCCACGCCGAGTAACCCGTAAATACGCGGCCTTTTGAGTTACCAACCCAACCTGCTTTCATTCTCTTTCTTTTTTTTTTTCCTCCTTCGCTAAAAGGATAAATAACTTAAGACAATATTTTAAATTTTATCCACTCAAATAAATGTTTATAATCAAATATTCTGAGCTTCGAATGCACATTTTATTCCGCCTGTAAATTAAATTTTAGATTTTTGTTTATAAGAAAAATCAGCATAATTATTTAATTAAAGTAAAGAAATAAAATATTATTATAATGACGCATCATAATCTTTATATTTAACTGTTTATCTATTCATAATATAATAAAATAAAATAATATTCATCTATCTAAGATTAATATATATATATATATATATATATATATATAATACTTGGATATATGTACAATGATATGTACATGTAAAATTTTTAAATAATAATTAAAAGTATATAATAACTACATAAGTATATAAAATATGGACAATTATCTAATAATAAAATAATAATTATAAGTTGTTGGTCAAGCAACAATTAAATCAACCAGCTATATCATAATAAACTAAGAAACAATGATAAGTCATTCATTAACATGACTTCACTACATATATCTTGTATTCAGCTTATCTATACTCTACTCTCATGTAAATATGATTATCGTAATTCAATCACAAGAAAACATACAAGAATTAGTTAGTATTCAAAAGAATAATTAGGCAACAAGTATAGGAGTAAGGACCACTATATTATCAACACAAACTACATAAACTAAGAAGTTTAATAATTTTATCAAGGTAGAACAACTTTAGTGTAAGTCTACCATAACAATCCGTCATGATTACTACACTAAACGGATTAACTACTAGCAGTGAAAAAGCATACTACAACTACCTAGGATTAATATCTTTACACCACATCATATGCATAAACCTTAACTAATTTGTCATCATGCATTCACCTACGAAGATCTCTTACAACACTTAGCAGTCTTAGTGGTTTGACCTTACTGAACCAATCAATCATTTTCACGCCTTACACATCTACTAGGTCAACAGCTAAATTGAAATACCAATCCCTATCACATGATTTCTCAAGTGTCAGCACTTAAATGATAAAAGTCTAATACCATTGTTAGGTATAGCATAACTTGGATATGGTCTTACCATGACCTTGACGCTAGTTAAGCCCCTACGCCTTACAGGCTTGGGACTGGAAGACAAGTGTACCTTCCCGATCAGAATTTGATCCGACCCCTCTACATGGGTGCACTCGGTCATCCGACCTGTCTGCTCTACAGGGGTAACTCGGCCAAAATCCGATCTGACCCTCCCACATAGATACTAATCCGATATCAGGGATAAAATCCCATCTTTAATGACAAAATATTTTCCAAATATTAACGGTTATGAAAATCTCTGCACTCACAAGGCCCATAAGGCCCATAAACAAGAAAGTTTAAGATCTAAAATCCTAGAACTAAGCGGACACATTACACTTTTGAATGCTCTGGCTGGGAGGCTGAACCTAGGAAAAAATCCTAGTCCATCCTTTAGTCGGAACAATATATATTCTCAATTATGAAACTAATATAATTTTCACAATTTTTTAAGGTAAAATTTTATAAAGAACCGCGGTTCACTATTGAATTATAAGCATTTGCCTTTTGTCTACTACTAGTAGTATTAGTAGGTAATACAATATTAATAGATTGACACCTAAACCGTATAATTGTATGATTATTTTTCTACTCTGATTTATCTTTTAGATGATTCAATTCACACAGTCACATTCTTCAACTACAACATATTCTAATGTCAATGTCCTATCCTAGGATTCTTCACCTTTATCAATATGCGGGTTTCTTCAGCAGAATTTAGGGGATTTATTCTAAACTAATGATCTAGAGGGGTGATTCCCGATTCACAATATCTAACTATATATGTATTACCTTTTTTGAACAAAATATTTTTTTCCATAAAGTTGTTTAATGGGAAGTAAATGAATATTTAAGTAGCAGTGACCTTTGTCGATATTAATGGAGTTGGAGTCACCAACTCCCCAAGATCAAGTTGCAAATATAATGCCTTTTATGCTTTCGGAATTGCTTACTTTGTAACCAAGTAGTTACCAGCCACAATTTTTAATTACGTAGACAAATAAATAGTCATGAAATTAGAGGTCGGTTATTTAATTAATTATATTCATTGTCATTGTTAAGAAAAAGTCCAATTACTCGGTGGTTCTCAATAAGTATATATAATTTGCTAATTTATATTCACTTATATTTTAGAAAGATAACTTTAAGAAGCTACTTTTTGAGTGTCTTTCTGAAAAACAAAGTTATAACTTACCAAAAACATTCTTTATATAAAATAAGTATGTATAACAAATTCCTAGAATTTACTAATTTATATTCACTTATTTTTTTAAAAAAATATATTTTAGGAAGTTTAACTTTTAATATATTTTAAGAAAATAAAAAGGATAGCTAGCTTAAATACTTATTTTAAAAAAATAACCTGACGCACCTTTATTATGATGTCTTTATCATGTTTTTACTAGTTACTACTTGCATCATTATGCTAGTTTCTTTGTTTTTCACCCTACCATTCTTCGGCTCATTAATACCCTATAAACATATAATTATTCATACTATATCCACTATAACTTAATAGATTGACCTAGTGGTAACATTTACATGTGAGAACGAACTATGACAGAAAATCTGTGTTCAAAAACTCTTCGAGTCAGCAACTTTCATAACATCATGAACACAATTAGTTTCTACTTTCTAGTCCAGTGGGCGGGAAGAAACCTGTGCCGGTAAAAAAAAATTATAATACATCTATTGTGTTAGTGTCAGTAGTTGTTCAATTTTTCTGTTTTTAGAATGTTCTCAAGAAAAAAAAAAACTATACATGAATTTTTATTTTTCCTCAAAGGCCTGGACAATTTTAAGCCTAACCTCTGGATACAAATTACAATATTGAAACTGTTAGATTGAATGGAGCCATGCTTTATTCATAAAGAATTTTGATTAATAAGCCATTTATAAATTCTGTTATAACTGGGAACAGTTACCATGACCTTGAATTGGAATCTTCACCACAATTTGTTATCCAAAAACAAGACAAAAGAACTGTAATTAACAAATTCATGAGTAAAGGGCCTGAATTCACAAGGAATCCTGTGTGACAAACATACATCATTTGAATTTTATAATATCCTTATTTAAAAATTCTAATAAATTGTCAACCCTTCAATAAATTACACATTTGACATTTTACAAGCAATCAATAAATTTGAATTGAAACAACGTGCTCTACATCCCCTACGCTCAAAGTATGGGAGCCTAAGGGCAAAATTCTTTTTCCTTGCTTATCTGCAAAGCTCAGGTGTTCACAAGGATCCACCAAAATGCTTGTTTCAGTAGATTTGTTAGAAATAGTATGCACACGGCTAAACCCAACCAATTGGGTTTCTGGAGAGCCTTCAACAACTTTTGGCCCTCTAGCGAATAACATTATAACATGGCTTCCATCCAAATCACCAAGGTTCGTCACAGAAACATCCACTGAAAAACTCAATAAGTTGCAATTTTGCAACTCATCAACTTGAGCATAATCAACTCCATAAACCTCTTTTCCTGCTTTATTTAATAATCTTTTTCTAGAACCATCTTTGACAATTCTAGACAAACTAATTTTGCTTGGAGCTGATAAGAAATTGTATGAAAAATCACTATAACTTAAACCATGCCCAAATCCATATACTCTACTTCCAGTATAAAACCTGTAGGTCCTTCCTGGATAACCACGTGACGGATCAGCTCGCATGCTCATGTCATTCATGGGAACATTAGTAAATGCCTCAGGGTACCAAGTCATTGGCAGTCTTCCAGCTGCATCAAAAACCAACTTAGATAGTTAAAAGTTAAAACTCACCACTAGATACTTGAAATTGCAAATTCTAAATTCAAGTATTTCATACCGTAATTCATAGGTGACAACAATAAGCAGATATAATTTAAAAACAAAGATACTACAACACCTTATTGACTTTTTATGACAAGTAGGGTTTGCTAAGTTACTAATTATCCAATCAGAGAACTTCAAAATTCTTCGCATCCATTTTAATTTTTTTTATTTAGTCTAGACTCTAGTATAAAATATATATACATGTATATATGCACAACTTTAATCAGTAACCAACATTAATCAAGGTACAACTGCATATACACACATGAAAAGTAAACACTGACTTCACTAAATAAACCGTTTGGATGCTAACCTATTTGCCGGTGCTGTTTGTTAACAACTAATGATAATGCAATTGGAGAAGCAATAATAATGTAGGAAGCGAAGCTATGAGAATTGAAGTTAGCACCTAAGTTACCCTCAATTTCAGTGTTACACAAAGTGTTATAAAATATTTCCTTTCATCATCATTTTCATTAGATTTCATTAGCAGGTTGTTTTTCTAATTTTCATCATCTGATACTGATAGTTAATTTAACATGAAGCGTATCCAAAATTAGTACAGCTGCAGACTAATTGGTAATTGACAACCAAGGCAAAGATGACAATGAACTACCCATAACCTCGATTTCAGCATACACCTCTAGTGGAAAGCGAACCAGGTTGGATTGTGTGATCGTTTGTAAAAAAAGCTTTTTCTTTTCTAGAGCAATTAGGAACATCAAACATAAAGGCAAAAAAAAAAGCTTTTCTTACAAATGATCACACAATCCAACCTGGTTCGCTTGCTGCTACAAACTCATTTTGGAGCAACAATCCAGCACCAAGGAGCATGGAACCTTGGGAGGCCAAAACATGTTGGATTGTACAACACTACAATCCTATGAGTTGAAATGTGATTCTGACAATACTACCATGTCATACAATTTCCAAAATTGCACTCAATTACAGAGTTTTTCTTATTTTAGCCGAATGTCAAATATATTCTTATTTATCCAATCACATGATTAAGGATAATTTTAAGAAAAAGTGCACTTAACAGTAGTTAGTATAAAGTTTAAATTAACAACCATGACTCTGAGAGTGCAAAGAGAATCATCTAACCTCAAATATTCACGATGAATAAAGACACCCTTGTCTAACGGCACATTCATTTATAACTTATAAGTAATTAAGTTTACATACCTGGATTAAACTCTCCAAAGATAATTTCAGCTAGAGCTTTTCCGCCAGCTTCACCAGGGTACCCCACCCAAAGAATACTTGCAATTTGTTCATTTCTTTCAGCAAAGGAGACATCAAGAGGTCCTCCACCAGTAAGAACTAGAATAACTGGATTTTTACTAGCATCAGCAACAGAGGATACAAGGTCCATCTGTTTACCAGGCAACAGAAGACTAACTCGGTCATGATCCTCTGTCTCTTGTGTTGTATCAAGCCCAGCAACTATAACGACAAAATCTGCTTGTTTTGCAGTGTTGATAGCCTCAGCAAAACCATCATCAGAGTCACATGGTACATCATGGCAACCAAAAGCATATGATATCCTCTCAGCAAACTCTCCTAGTCCATCATATAAGCTTGTTGAGGTGCAAGGAATTCCTACATTTTAGATACAAAATCACATTGTTCAGTGTCATGGATTTGAAAGGTCTTCTAAAAGATAGAGAAACATTTAAAGTGATGATGGCCTAGACAATTGTAAAACCACAAATAATAAATAAAGGTTTAATAGATCAATAGGTCCCTAAACTTACTATAAAAAAATTAAGTCCCTAAACTAAAAGTTTATAAGAGTCATTGATCTTCTACAATTTTTGTAATTGATCATTGAATTTAGTAAAACCGTCATAAATTGTTATTTTTCTAACAACTGCCATAAATTAATTCTTGGGACCCAATAACAAAAATTTAAAAAGATCAAAGATCCAATTACAATTTTTTTTTTTTTAAATTTTAAGACCTAATTAAAAAATTTCAAAAAGTTCAGGAAACTACATATACAATTGGTATTTCAGCATGATTGTCCTGTGTACAAAGTACATATACAATTGGCATTGGAGGGTAGGGTTATGTGAAAAAGATAGCTTGAGCACAGGTATCTACAGCAAGCAAAATCAAATGATATAAACAAATGAAGATGAAAAATTACAATGCTCCAATATGAAAATCATACCGGAGTAGCCACCACCTAATTCGGTTGTAGCTGCCATTGGGCCAATGACAGCTAAGGAGGCACCAATATCCCTATTCAAGGGAAGGAACTTCTTATCATTTTTCAGCAGTACAATCCCCTGCCTTGCAGCTTCAAGTGCCAGTGCTTTGTGTTCTGGGGTGCAAACGTCCTTTGCTCCCAATTTGCCAAATCGGCCTCTTATAGGGTCTCCGTCAAACAGTCCAAGACGCAGTTGAACAGTGAAAAGGTTAAGAAGAGCTCTATCTAAATCTTCCTCTTTTACCTTCCCTTGTTTAATAGCGGATTCAGTATATCGAAGCATAAATGTTCCACAATTAATATCCATACCTGATGGATTGAAAAAATGTTGGAAACCAGCCAGTTCATATAAAGTTGCTGCAACAAATTCAATGAAACCATCCATTTAAATAGACAAACAAAAACACCTGCTTTGAGAACAGCAGCAACAGCATCCTCCCGGGATTTTGCGTATTTCTGATACTCAAACACCGTGGCCACAGCATCACAGTCTGAGGTGATGTACCTATACTCAAAACCACCAATCCTGATAGTCAAAAAAAGATCCTTTTCTCACAATTTTTCACACTGACACAAATTTCAAAGACCCTCAAACCCTACCCTTTAAACCCCCACTTGTCTCTAGCCAGTCCCAAGAGTTCCTCATTAGCACAAGCAGGAACACCATTCACCTCATTGTAGGAACACATCAAGCAGCTTGCTTTCCCTTGCTGAATGCATCCACGAAACGGTGGCTGATAAGTGTCTTCCAAATCCTGTTGTGATACCTAGAAACATGGAACCAATTGATCCCATCCAACCAACCAACCAAAACCAATTTCACTCAACACCATACCAATCCAACAACAAAAGCATCAAAAAATAAAAAATAAAAAAAATCCTATGCACAGTCAATTATAAGTCAATAAAAAAAAATCCCTTAAAAGTAGTTGTTATAAAAGTCAACAAACTTTCCATATGACAGTAATCTTTGATTGGATAACTCTCCATGCATTCAAATCAAATTCCAATTCTAAACCATCTTACACTATCTTCCTACTAATTCTAAAGATTTTTATATTTTCCATACATAAATACACAATTATTTAATTTATTTCTTTGTTTAGGACCACAATTAATTTTGAGCTTAATTTAATTTCTTTATACTTCTTTTATATTTATCAACTAATCGTAAATCATAATTAATATGACTTTAAGTTAGTTATATAAAAACTACCAAATTATGATTAGACTATGGTATATATAAACTATTAGTCTATTTGGATAAATTTCTCCTAAAGTACTTACAGAAAAGGAAAATGGAAAGAAAGTATGAAATTAGCTTCTCTATAAACTAAATTTAATTTATCTATAAGTTAATTTGTAAAAATTTTGTTGTATTAACTACTTCAAAAACTTCTATAAAATTTATGCATAAATTAATTTCAATTCATTAAAAAGCTATTTTCATTTTTCTTCTTTTGCGTTATTTTAAAAGTGCTTCAGGAAAAGTTGATTCAACTAAACTTTATCTACTGATAATTTATTTTTCATAAAGTATTAAGTTAAGAAATAAACGATGAGATAGCAGGAAGCAAGAGTGGAAGTAAGAACAAGAGATGTGAAAGGAGAACTGACCACAGCATTGAAGTTATACCTAGCGAACTGTCTCCACATGTCCAAATCATAAGCGGTGAAATGCTTGCAACACGCAGACACCATAAGCGCATCATCATCATCATCATCATCGTCTTGACGAGCAGCGTCATGGATTCCGGGAAGTTCCTGAAGGCCTCTGACGTACTGAACGGCGTAGGCAGAAGCGAGCATGGGGTCCTCGCCGGGAGTCTCCTGGCCGCGGCCCCACCTGGGGTCTCTGAAGAGGTTGATGTTGGGGGCCCAGAAGGTGAGCCCGGCCTGGCCCACGTTGAACATGGCGCGGGCCTCGCGGGCGATGGCGGCGGCGCTGCGGAGCCAGAGGGAGCGGTTGAAGGAGGCGGCGGAGAGGAGGACCTGGGGGAAGGCGGTGGCGGAGGAGACGGCGCCGTGGAAGGAGACGCCGGGGCCGTTGGTGGCGAGGCCGTGGAGGGACTCGGACCACCACTGGTAGGCGGGGAGGCCGAGGCGGGGGACGGCGGAGGCGTTGTTGGAGAGTAGGAGGATCTTCTCCTGTAGGGTGAGGAGGGAGACGAGGTTGCGCGCTCTATGGGGAATGGGAATAGAAGCGTCGCAGAAGGGGTGGGAAGAGTGGTGGGGGATTTTGCAAGCGTAGTCGTCGCTGCTTGATGTTGCGGCCAAGAAGAAGATCACAAACGTCATGGAACTCCATTGCTTTCGGTTCCACATCTCACTCTTTCTTTCTTCTCGCTTCCTTCGATACACACTTCCAACTTCTCAATTCATCTCTCACTCACAACTCAACTATTTTTTTTCCCACGTTGACTTTAAATGTTTCGATCAAAATCAACTATTTTCTCTTTAATTTTCATCTTTTTCTTATCTTTATAAATTTGTTTAATAACCTTAGTAAATGATAATACAATAATTTAATTTTTAAATATTTTTGTAATTAATTAAAAATGTTTTATTGATTAACTTTTGAATTATATTATTGTGTCATTATACTAACTTTGTCAATTACTTTTAATAAATTTTTTTTAACCACATTTTTTTAATCTATTACTTAAAGTCTAGATTTTTAAAAAAATAAGTCTAATTTTATTTAGATCAAACAATTTGATAGTTTTAAAAAGACATATTTTAAATATAAATTTAATTTTTATATTATAACGACTCATTATAAATCCTACACTTACGATACGACAACAAACAACAACAAAAAATAACAATAATTTCTTAAGAGTAATATTTAGTAGTCGGGTTCAACAATTAATATATATATATATATATATATAT